ATAAAGGGTATATGAATATAGCTAGTTAGACTTTGTGGGATTCTCAGGAGCAGAGGTCTGGTTGCAACCACATGATCTGCTACTGTTTTTCCTATGCCAGGAAACCTAGGTAAGCAATGGCAGAGGGTGTCTAAGTAAGCTTGGACTGCGTTTGCTTTTAATGTACCTACGACACGTGCACTTTTAAGACAGACAACAAATCAGTTAATAAAATACAATGTCCATGTTCTTTTGCAGTATCAGTCACAAAGTACATACAAATCCTCTGCAACTGCTGCCTGACAGATCTGGATGATGAAGAGGAGAAGAATCTATAAGGTCCAAGATAACTATGCTGCCTCATATATAAAAAAAAAAATATTTCAGAGGATTTATATTTTCATGATTTTGCACTTTATTGAGATTCTAACACACAGTATTGTGATTTTGTATTATATTTCTTTTATATCATTCTTTTCATTTTTAGTTTTGAATGGATAATCATGAGGAGAGTAAAATATACTCTTCCCAATACGTAGAGCTGGTGTGGGACACTACAAATGTCAAACGCCGCCTCTAAGACTAAGAGCTGACCAATCATGTGACCGCTGATCAGTCAGCTCTAGTTCTCTGCTCCAAGCAAAGAGCAGTGACTATCAATCACTGCTCCACCCTGGGATTCTCCACTCTCTGCTCCTCTGGAGCTGGCTGGAGATACAGGTTGGTGATAGGTCAGCTTAAAGTTACATTAAACCGTCAGATTTTTTAACATAACACAATACTGTAATGTGTACGTTACTGTAATCCATGGTTGTTTCCCTTCTCTTTGCTGCTCTTCCTTTTAAACCTGTATCTGTTCTCATGCTCTGCAGAACTTCTGTTTTGCAGCAGACTGCCTTGTCTCAGGAATGGATACACGGTGTCTGTGTATACGTTTGTATAGGCTTGTAACCTGAGCCAGCACTACAGGAAGAGGCCCTGAGCTATAAAAGGGAAGTTTTCCCCAAGCATGAGAAGACATGAGGATTTAAAAGGAAGAGCAGCAAAGAGAAGGGAAACTACCATGGATTACAGTAAGGCACACATTACAGTATTGGCTTATGTTAAAAAATCTGAGGGTTTAATGTCACTTTAAAGCTAGAGACAAGCATGTGCAGAGAGGAAGAGCCAGCTGTCAGTCATAGAGGCTAGGCTGGATCCCTACAATATTATTGGGATCCTTCTAGACTGCAGTGCGGCTATGCTATCAGTTGATAGCATGCATAAGACAACTATCTGCTGACTTTGGATCACAGGAGTGCATTACTTTCAAAACCTTAGCCTTTCAAAACATTAGATTTATGGGTCGCTGGATCAGTAGATTGGAGCACAAGGGAAGAGCAGCTATAAGGCAGACGCCCTAAGGCTTGTGTAGACAGACTTTTGTACACATCACACAGGTTTTGCATTCCCATACAAGTCTAAGGGAATGCAAAACCCATTTGAAGCAGGTCAAATGCAGGTCAGAATGAGGTCAACTGCAGGTCAGAACGAGGTCAACTGCAAGTTGAATGCATCTGTCAATAAATTCTGAATGATTCCAGAAGCGTCTCAAACTTATGACATCGATACAAGCCCAAAGCCCGTCAAAACCGGCTTTTACTGTGCCTCCTGTAGACAATCAGTCTCAGTTTGGTGTTTTTTATACTAATAAGTTTGCTTGTTTCATTTGTTTTTACTTTTGGATAGAGTAAAAAAAAGAGATTTAACATTTTTTTTAAAGTTGAACTCTGGCCTCACCTTTTTCCCAACATTGTAGCATGTCTTCTCTTGTGTTAAAACTGATTACTGATTTCCTGCAAACATGCATCTCCACAGTATATCCCTTTGAAGCTGCAGCAGCCATCTTGAGCCCACCTTCATTTCCTGCCTGAATAGCCTCCATTGTTCATCAATCACTTCTCCCCCTGATCAGAACCATCATTGGCCCCTCTCACAGCAATTAGCTTTCACTGCCAACAATCATTTTTATCCAGAGCATTATGTGAAAGAATCCCCGGAATTCTTTTAGATGTGTCTGCAACTAAGCCAACCAATCAGGTTCCTACACAGCTAAAGTCTGTTGCACCCAGTGGCCAGCAGAGAAAAGCAGGCACATCTGAAGGGGTCACGGAGATGTGTTCTTTTGAATAAGATCTGAGGCATAAAGCTGTGACGTATACAAGAGCCTGCCAGGCCCTTCCACCAAACTTGGAGCAAAGGCCAGCCAGGGATGACATCACTGGGTTCAGCTTTAGGAAATGGCCACAAGGGCAGAAAGCCACAGACCACATGGAGAACAATTGTCAAACATTCTTACACATGCCCACTCCTGAAAATGTGTTTTGTGTCTCTTATTACTGTGTTGCAATTCTTTTAACATATCTTAAAGAAGGATGGTTAAATGGTCCCTAGCAGTCAAACAGTCCCCAGCTAACTACATACAATAAAACGTGCCACAAATTTCTTACCAACAATGAAAAATTAGAGCTGAATGGGGAGATTGCTGATTGCAACCATAGATAGTTTAAATCTAAACTCTGTCATCCATTTACCTCAAATAATGTGACTTTGTAATGACTTATGTACCAAATAAATTAGAAAAACATCTTGCACTGCATTATTCTTCCTGATTCTTTGCCTTTGTGAACTTTGAGCAGGCGTTAGACACTGTAATAAAAGTTTTTTTTTTAATATTGCATAATGTTTCTGTTTTGTCATAGAGCAGCCTTTCCCAGCCAGCCAGAGGGCACCCTGGTCTTCAATCTGGCTTTATCAAGTATTTCTTCAAATTGTTGCTAAAGGGAGAGGACTCTGATTTTTTGCTTGGTGTCTCCCCTTAATACAGTATTTATACTAGACCCCTGTCTATTTCTTTACAAAATTACTTTTGTGTTTTTTACATTGTAGACTGGGGTTCCTCGACATTTTGCATGTTTAAAAGGTGCCGTGACTGAAAAAAGGTTGAGAAACCCTGTTATAAAGTAAAGCACTGACACAATCCCAATCTGATTCATTAGTGATCAGGACACTGTCTCCAGTATTTCCTTTTTGTGAGCAACCAGCGGCTGCTGGGTCCACTTTTTCTGAGACCACCAGTTGTATACTACCCCCTCTGTAGTTTATATAAACATTGAGCGCCAATGTAATTATATCACGGCTTGCTGTATTCGGTGAAGCCAGGCGTCTCAACTCCCAGTCTGAATTGCCCACTTACTATTGACTTATTATCTATGATTGATGCCCGCAGTCAAGCTGGCCATACACTTTACAACCATAGCACGACTTTCGTTGTGCGATGGTTGTAAGCTTATTAAAATTTCTTGGACAGGCAGATTGTACTTGCAATCATCTCAAGCCCTCCCCGCTGAGGGGACGGCTTGCCGATGAGTGCACTGCTGAGCGGGCAGTGTGCGCTTGCGCACACCGGCCCGTGCGGCTTTCGTCTTCCAAGCACGCTACCAACCCGCCGAAAATCGTACGATTTTCGGCGGGTTTTCCAGTGTGCTAGGAGGCCGAAAGTAGATGCGGTTGCACCCTGCCCATACACCTGCCGATTATCGTACGACCGTAGGATCACCCGCGATTATCGTACGATAATCGGCAGGTGTATGGGCACCTTAAGTAATCTTGCCCACAGTAATGCCCATTCAGAACTACAGTTCCCATTGCATGATGGAATTGTAGTTTTTGCAAGCATTGCCGCACAATGAGTGCATAGGATGTGTCCGCTGGATTGAATCCTCCTCCAGGTACCCAGCAGTAGCACAAGTTGTCACAATAGGACATTTTATATCACCAAGTTTTAAAAGGCAATTTCCTCAGAAACTGAACCCGCTTATCATAAAGAAGATGCGTATGTATTATGTAACTGAAGTCATTGTGGAAATTAACTTGCGTCCCGAAGTTCAGCTTTAATATGGGGAAATCTCAGCTGCCTGGTAACCGTTGCTAAGGTGTTCATATCAATTTATTTTTATCCTATATGCTTTTATCCTAGTTTTAGGAATTTATTGTATAGATAGATATATATTTTATCCCCTCAGGTCCAATTGCATTTGTATAAATATTGCTGATGTAAGACATATTTATAAATGGTTGAAAAGGAGGATGCTTACAAATCTGCACTAGACAGGCGCACAGAGAGTGTTAGGGTAACAAATACAACTTGGATGCCAAATTTAACAAACATTATTGAGAATTAGCTGAAAAAAACAAGATTTGGGGAAAAGTGTCAGCAAAACGATATGGCAAAAATCACTATTACTGAGCATACATTCATAGTGCATATTTGTAATTTAGTCTGATGGGTTTGTGGATGGGGCTCAGTGGTGAACGGTGATTTAAAGGGATTAGGCAAGACAATGTTTTTTTGTTCTTTTTACCCTGGAAAGTATTATTAGAATGTGGTTATCTTTCCAAAGTACAAGTATAGAACAACAAAGCACATCTGACAGTTCTGGAAAAAGACAGTTCAATTAAAGTAGTACAGCAAAGCAGGGATTGCGTACGGAAGGTTGCCGGAGGCAGGTAGATGCTAACCATTTAATTTGACCCTCAATAGAGATGCTCACTGTCTGACCTGTGTGTGGCAGTCATCAGATCGGTGTCACGAATGGCTGCACAGAGGATACTTAGTCCAACACCAGGTATAAGAAGGTGGTATATGATGTTTCCCTACACCAGCTTTTCTCAACCAGGGTGCCCACTGGCATCCTCAGGGTTGCCTCAAAATTTTATGTTGGGACAGTGATGTGAAGGGAAGCAGGAAGACTGATTTGAAGGGGGCTTCTGATGTGAAATGTGAACTCTGATGTGAAAGGGGGGCCTCTGATGTGAAAGGGGGGCTACTAGTGCAAAGGTTGTCTTTGGTGCGAAGGGGGAATCTTAACTAGAAGCGGGCATGTCGATGTGAAGGTGGAAACCCACTTTTTTGTGTGTTTTTCAATGTGATCCTCCTTAAATCTATGACATTTTAGAATATATATATATTATCCCTCAGGCATTATCGTATTTGCAGGCATATTTGGAAGGGGTGTGGGCTATAGTTGAACATAAATAAGGGATCATGGCGAGGGGGCGGCTGTTTATCCGGGATGAGAAATTCAAAACGCTGCAGCAGAGATACAAAGAAGATGAAGAGATCCATTCTTGCCAGTTGCTCCCCCACACATATGCGACGGCCTAGAAAACAAGAAGAGGAAATGTTTAAAATTGAAGCCTTAGCCATCATAAGGATTAAAGGTGTACATCAAACAACAACATTTTGTATTTAAACTGACTCAAGGGACATCACAGCATCATGTGACGAGAGGGGGCAGTTAGCAAAATATACCTGCAGCCAACCTACACCCAATGCACAAGGTCATGTATGGCTGCCCAATGCAACTATTCAGAAATCTTATTTATGGTAAACTGGCTCATTAAATGAGCTCTACTCACTGTTTTATGTCTCCAGAGTTCCTCGACCAGACAAGTACTGGAGATTCTGGATTTTGTATGACTGTTTTTTTAAAAGAAGAATTCCTCTCAAAAGTGTTCTTAACCCTTGCAGTGGGGCTTCCACCCCACTGCAAGGGTTAAGTGCTCATTTCTCACCTGAACCTAGGAGCCGTTTGCCTGCCTCTTTGGCCCCTGAAACCTCTCCTCCTATGCTGCAGCATTGTAATGTTCCTCGAAATTCTCACGTCTATACATTGTGGGGAATTTATCAAAGCAATTGCGACAGTTTTAGTGTCTTAGATAATTTTTTTTATGTGCAAATCTGTCTTTTAACATTTGCCCCTGTTTTCACCTGAGCTTGCACTACGTTTCCAATTGCACGTGCTTTGACCAGAGCTTGCACTACTTTTTCAAATTGCATGTTTTTGCACCTGTTTTCAACTGCACGTCTTTTGTACGTGTTTTTATCTGCACTTGTTGTGGGCTGTATAAAACTGGAGCATCACCTAAGAAAACCAATCGCACCTTAAGCATCCCCATGACCACTTCAAGAAGTGACAGTTAAGCTTTTTGCCTGAAGTTACGAGTCTCCTTTCCTGGAGTCTATTTAACCTTATTCATCAACATTACACTAGCAACATAAATCTGGCACAAAGTGCATCAAATATATTCCGTGCAAGTTCAAACACTCGCAATTGATATGATAAATCCCCCCCATTGTGTATAGAACATGCTGGTTTACGGGACCTTAGACCGCTCCAGTGGAGGGGGAGAGAGACTGGAAGGACCGGTCTAAGAACAAGTCAGCTCAGAGGATCAGGCGAGTATAACTTTTTTTTTTAGCCACTAGACAAAAACGAGCACTTAACCCTTGCAGTACGTGTGTAGTCCCCCTGCAAGATTTAAGAAGAGTTGTTATATATAAAAGGCACCTAAAAGTAATTTCACTTTTTAGATGATGATGATGGAAAGTTAATCCAACTGACAGTTCCTTGTATCTATTGGGAACTCCATTGGTTAGAATGCTACACTAGAGTTCCTGTGTATGTACCTCTGCTGTGGCCATTATGAGGGGCTCCCTCTTTAGCTGTTGGATTTTTTTCTTTCATATTATGGAGAATGCTGCAGGAGGAGCTAGAGCATACAAAGGTGGACAGAAATAACCTCCAAGGTCAGGGATGGGCAAGTCCCTCCAACTGTTGGGGAACTACAAATCCCATTAGGCACTGAACAGTTACAGGCATGACTCCCACAGGCATAGGCATGTTGGGGTTTGTAGTTAAAGCACAGCTGGAGGGCCAGAGTTGCCCTCCATTGTCCTAGGTGGACAGGCACCTGGGAGTTTTGGAGTATCTAACAAAACATACAGTATAATCCCTATAAACCCAAGGATGATGCAGTCAACATGCTCCATCTATTACTATCTGTAAAAATTAAGTCAAGGCGACTGGACTTGCTGTATTTTTCTTGAAGACATTTCACTGGACATCCGGCCAGCTTTCTCAATTCAGGATGACTTGTACAAAAAATTATCTGGGAATAAATATGGTGAAAGTCACTCCAATCCACATAATCTGTTAGTCACAACCAAAACAATTATGCAACTATAATCAACACATGGTTGTGACTAACAGATTATGTGGATGACCTGGATGAATGAGAACCTTCACAGTCCATCTATTACTGAAGAAATACTTTCAGGTGGACTTACCTTTTAAAGCTGACCTCCAGGAAGAATGAAAAAAGGCACACAATAATATATATAGCACCCTGAATATGACTTGGTATCAGCCTTTTGCAGGGTACTGTACAGGAAAAGCATGGCAAAGAGACAAAGGGGTGTTCCACAGTACTAGGATTATGCTGACAGAAGGAGAGAGGAGCACAATGAGAGAGATGAGCTCATCAATGTGCTACTTCTCCTTTCACTGCTCAATCACTGGTTGGGGGGAAACTTTGTGAAAGTGCAACTAAAGCAAAGAAAACTAGTAGTAGTTAGTCATATTCAACTGAACTTGTTCTGTAATGTTGAAGATTTTTGGTAGCTTACTCGAGTCATTTCGTCAGTCTCAGGTCAGAAAAATTCCCCAGCATTTACATTAATACAGGCAGCACAGACACGTTACCCCAATCACCACGGAAAAGCAGATTCTGATGAAGTGGCTTTATTGAGCTACAAAACATCTTAACATTTACAGTAGGGATGTCCCGATACCACTTTAAGACCAAGTACTTCCCCTCATGTACTTACTAATACCAATTACTGATACTTTTTCTTAAAGGGACAGGTGACATTAAAAAAAAACAATACAGACTAATGATTTACGGCCAATTTCTTTATGATTATGAAGAACTTTAATTTAAGACTGTTTTAGAACAATAAAAAACATTTGTATTTGCTTTCACACAGCTGTCGTGAAACTACAAATCGGATCATGCATTTGCCTCTGGGATCATTTAACCTATTCATGTTAGCAGGGGAGAATTGTAACTCTATTGCTGCAGTGTACTGGAAGTGTGTGCTATGGATCATTTCACCGGGTACACACTTCCAGTACCCTGCAGAAATAAAGTTACAAAGGGATTAGAGGAAGCTATTGTTCTGATTCTGGAAGTCCTCTGCTGCTCCTCTTCCAGCCGCTATGTCAGTTGTAAAATGGCAGCACCAAGTCTGTTTTGAGATCATCTCTTGAACCCTGCCTCAGCATATGTAAATGAAGAAAACTGTGACTGTGTGTAGGACTGCTGCTCACAATCACAGCCTCAGTGCTACTTGCTTACAAATACTGAGAATGGTTTTAGAAGCAGTCCTGCTGCACACAACCTCGTTGCTGTCATTTGTCAGTGACCTAGTGGCAGAAAGACATTGATTTTAATACAAACAGACTCCCCCTCTTGGAGCATGTTTCTTGTTAAATCCATATCTAGGGTGTAACATGAAGCAGTCACATTACCTGCTTGTTTGTGTCCAAGGATGAAAACAAAAGTTGTACTCACCCGATCCTTGCAACCGGCTTGCTGTTAGACCAGTCTTTCCAGCGGCTCTCCCCCTCTGTTGCATCGGTCTAGGAATCCTCAAATCATCAAGTGTACTGGATGTGAGAATGCTAGGGGACATGCCACTACTGCAGCGGGGAAAGACAGAGATCGGAGGGATCTCTGCCGTCTCAGGGATTCAGCAAAGTATACATTTTTACTTTACTTCAGTCCTAGACACAAATGAGCAGTCAACCCTTGCTTTTCCGGGGTAGCCCCATACAAGGGTTAATATTTTTGCCTGGAATTCTACTTTAAATGCTGCACAAGAATGTAATACCATAAGGAAGCATATTTGTTTGCAAAAGCACATGAACACATTTATGAAATCTACTAAAAGAATAAAGGGCCTTGCTTAATGTTGCAGGACTGACTGTACTACTCTGTCTGTAGTATGCAATAAAAAGATTAGGTTGCAGGACAACACAGCCATTATGTCTTTCACACACTTTACACAAGTGACTTTGCCCCCTCTAGCTATTCATACATCTGATTTTATTTCCTAATCTGTCCTGGTTCATGGAGCACTACCTCCACCCTGCTCTGCACAGTTACAAATCTATATCCTGTGGATGGGGAGATGCAGACACACAGAGGTGCACGGACAGTCACCTCCTGGCCACCTCCCTCCTCACAGGAGCGCTCTCCTCTGCCCGGCTTCTTGTCATCTTCGCTCTCGTGTTCTGGAGTCATGCTGCCACCAGGACCGGATTTACCCTGCCTGCCTCCCCAAGGCCAGTTCCCCTGGGGAGAAGTCGGGGTCCTCAAGGACCAGGGTCATGGGTGAGGGCGTCGGCGACAGTTTGGATGTTCTTATAAATTTTACGCAACAAGAACAGAAAAACAGGTACAGCACTGCATTTAGCCAGGAGATATTCCCTCGGGCCACCTGTAAAGTTTACCTATGTGTGTGCACCTTTGTATTCCTCGGCAATAGGAAGAAAGAGGACAGGGGC